TCCTGCAGGCTTTTTCCATCCTCCGCAACCACCAATCCTTTTTTAATTATTATTTTGGTTCATCCCTCACTTGTAAGAGAAATGGAGATGAGCACTGCCCCCTATAGTTGGTAAGGGCGAGCGAAGTAAAATCCGCAGGGACTCCTTTACCACTTGTAAGAAGGATGAAACACCGTCTTTCTTTTTGCAAAGAGGGGATGGCGCTCCTTAGGTTTTGCAGGGAGGGAAGGGATGCCACTTGCATTTTGGGGCTGCCCCTTTTCCTTCTCCCCCAAAACCACAATAGCATTCAATTTAGAATGCCCTTCTAATTCTTCTATCAGTAGAATCTATCCAGTCCTTTTAAACTCTGCATATAATCCTTGGCTTCATGGAGCTGAAGCCTTGAGCTTCAATCCTTCCCCCTGGGCACAGCCATCAGCTCTGAACTGGGGAGTCCTTCTTACTCTTTGAGCTTGGTTGTTTGCTTGCAGATGCTTCATTGTCCAACTAGCACCATCAAGAACTTCATAGATCACTTACAGACCTATGAAAAAATCTCCTGGATCAGATGAAATCTGCAACCAAACAGGACAGGTATAAACTTCAACGGATAGTTAGGACTACTGAAAAAACAATTGAAGCCAGCCTGCCTTCCATTGAGGATCTGTACACTGCACAAGCTAGAAAGAGGCCTGAGAAAATAGCTACAGACCCCTCACATCCTCAACATAAACCGTTTCAACTTCTCCCCTTAGGATGCCGCTATAGGGCTTTGCATGCCAAAACAATTAGACCCAAAGGTAGCTTTTTCCCCCATGCCATCACTCTGCTAAACACCTAACTCCCATAGCCCTGTCTTATGCCTAAAGATATTTACCCATGTAGTAGGGCTGTGTTACTATTATCCGTCTCATCTTCTCATCTCTCCTACTACCATCTTCTATTAGAATCTTATGATTTATCACTTATTGTTTGTATCTTATGATTATGGTTGTATCTTATTATTTATTATCTATGACGTTTCACATTGTTGTTTGGATGTGTGCTGAGAGCTTATGCACCGGAGATAAATTCCTTGTGTGTCCAATCACACTAGGCCAATAAAGAATATGCTATGCCAGTGGTGGTGAACCTATGGCACGCGTGCCAGAGGCGGCACTCAGAGCCCTCTCTGTGGGCACGTGTGCCATTGCCCCAGCAGAGTTTGCCAGAGTAGCGAGCACGTGGCGTTTGGAAACGACAGGACAGGAAGTGAGTGAGCAAGTGGCGTTGGCCTCCTGGGGATGTCCCGGAGATGGCGAGGGACTGGCCCCTGCCACCCTGGCCCCAGACACGCTCACCAAGTCTGCTGTGACCACTTCAGCCATGCCCACCCAGTGGCTGGGTAAGGGTGTGGCCTACTGGGTGGGAGTGGCTGCGGTGGTGATGGCAGTCTGAGTGGGCGTGGTGGGATGGACGTGGCCACCTTGATGTTGCTCGTGCGGGGATGCCTGTGGGGGCTTGGGAGGATTGGAAGAGATCCAGGGGGTCTCTGGTGGGTGGGGCGGTGGGCAGGAGGCTTGTCCTGTGGGGTGAGGCAGGGGGTAGGGCGGGGGTGCCATTGCTGCGGGGCAAGGTGAGGCAGGGGCAGCTGCTGCCTGACACCATTAGCCCCCGCACACAGAGGCCAGCAAGCGCATGGGGGCATGTTCTACCACCTCTGCTTGAGCTTGCTAGCCAGCTGCTTCGCCTCCTTTGTGCTGGGTGGGGCTGCCACTCCGGGCGCCAGCGGCGGCCTAATGGACCTGCGTGAGCTGGCAGCAGCGGCAAGTGTGCCCCCAGAGAGGGCTCTGAGTGCCACCTCTGGCACGCGTGCCATAGGTTCGCCATCACTGTCCTAATTCTTTTGTCTCTTCCCGGGCTTTCTCTTGACTTACAGAGAATTGTTTAAGGATTTCCACTTAAATTCTTACATCAGACTTCCTGGTGTATCTGTCCCTATGTACTCAGTAAAGTTATTCCCTAGACCTGAGTCCTTTGCATTCAACTTACGGTCTTTGCTTCATCACTAAGAAGCCATTACTCAGCCGTCCACACTGATGGCAGCTCTCATCATTACCTCTTGTTCAATTTGTCTGTTTTCCCCTCTTAAAAATGTCTAATGTAATGATGTGTCAGCAGCAGATGTCATAGTTTAACTATCCTTGACAAGAATGTCACGCTTTGAAGTTCTTACTGACAGTTAATCTAGGGGGGAAAATGGCATTTAATCATGCTTGCTAATATATAGGGTGTTCATAATTGGTGTTAGAAGTACTTGGATCTGTACTCAAGAAGATGGATTATATTGCAGTACAGGCTGAAATATAGGTGATGTCAATATAGAGCTGGATGATGTTTCTCTAAATGTCTATAGAGAGTCTCAGTCATCCAGGTCAAAGGTGCTTTTTCAAAAGGCAACTGGACTTTGTTTTCTCCTGAAGATGTTTTGCTTCTCATCCAAGAAGCTTCTTCAGTCCTGACTGAATGATTGAAATCCTTCCATCTTGCACCATTCAGTCAGAACCGAAGAAGCCTTAGTAAGACCACACCTAGAATAATACTGCATCCAGTTTTGATCTCCACACTATAAAAAGATGTTGAGACTCTAGAAAGAGTGCAGAGAAGATGATTAGGGGACTGGAGGCTAAAACCTATGAACTAATGGAACAGCTTGCCTTCAGAAGTTGTGGGAGCTTCATCACTGGAGGCTTTCAAAAAGAGATTGGACTCCCATCTGTCAGAAATGGTATAGGGCAGGGGTAGACAACCTTGGCTCTTTTATGACTCGTGGACTTCAACTCCCAGAATTCCTGAGCCAGCCATGCTGAGGGGAAAGAGAGAGGTTTCCAAGCTGAGCCATGCTGGCTCAGGAATTCTGGGAGTTGAAGTCCACGAGTCATAAAAGAGCCAAGGTTGCCTACCCCTGGTATAGGGTCTCCTGCTTGGGTGGGGGGTTGGATTAGATGACCTGCAAGGTCCCTTCCAACTCTGTTATTCTATTCTATTCTATTCTATTCTATTCTATTCTATTCTATTCTATTCTATTCTATTCTATTCTATTCTATTCTAAGCTTCTTGGATGAGAAGCGAAACATCTTCAAAGAAAAACAGAGTCCAGTTGCCTATTGAAAAAGCACCTTTGAGACTGTTTCTCCAAAGTGACAAATTGCATTAACATTGGCTTCCATCCACAATCTGAAATTCTTTCGAGACTGTAACAAGATTTGGTCTGAACCTCAGTCTTATTTTGTTTGTATATTTTGTGGCTATAAATAAAGTGATAAATACTGTTAAAGTTGCCTGTACTCTCAGAGGCCCAGTTGTGAGATATATGAGGAAGGAACTTCTCCTTGGTCAGTTGCAGGCAACGGGGTGCCTTTCTTCCAGAAATAAATTTATTTCTCCTTCCATTTTCAATAAAGGAATTAAGCCTGTGCCTTCCAACCATGTCTTTTTTGAATTGCACCACTAATAAAGGTAATTGCATGTTAGCTGATAATAATTTAGATTGTTTACCTTGAGTGCTGTATAGATAAAAGGCAGGAAATAATAAGAACTTTTATAACTTTAGAAGTGATGTTTGGGGAAGGGAGTAGCTTAATGGCAGAACACGGGATGCTTTTTATGGAGACGGGCCCAGCTTCTGTCCCTGGTTATTTGCCCCAGCAGTTGAGATATGGTGGTTGATCAGAGTTGATTGGAGAGCAGCTGTCACAGAAGCTGCCAAGTTAGTTGAAAAACAGGCTCACTCCTGTAGTGGGGTGAAGCAGCCTCTGGTTATCTGCACACCTTTGCAAATATCAGGGAATGGCTCAATTATTATAAGCAGCTGGAACAGCAGCTTGGATGCTTGTGATTAAAATTGTGTGGGAAGGAAAGAAGGAAGGAAGGAAGGAAGGAAGGAAGGCTTAGGGAGGGAGGGAGGGAGGAAGGGTTTTTTGCCTGAATGCAGCTACTTTTCCCAAATTTACTCTCTCACGCATATATTGCACGCAGGAAAGTTGTAAAAGTTTCTCGTCCTTTCATTTCTTGCTGCAGTCATTTGGGAAAACTTCTTCATAGACTGGAAAGTAAGTGCTCCCGAATCATTGGAGAGAAATTTGAAGAAAAGACATGAGCTTTGAAATGTTACGAACTTCACTATTAACTTAATTTGGGATCCAAGCTTGAGTTGGTTTTGGTCCAAACTTTGCTATTTTGGTGAATCTTGACCCAATGCATTTTTCATAGGTGACCTCGGCTTTAAGAAAACGTGGCAACTAAGTTGAGAAACGAACTGCAGGTGGTAGTCCTCAACTTATGACCACAATTGAGCCCAAAATTTCCGTTGCTAAGCGAGACCGTTGTTAAGTGAGTTTTGCCCCCCCCATTTTATGACCTTTCTTGCCACCGTTGTGAAGTAAATCGCTGCAGTTGTGAAGTTAGCAACGTGGTTGTTAAGTGAATCTGGCTTCCCCATTGACTTTGCTTGTCAGAAGGTAATCACGTGACCCCGGTACACACTGCAACCATCTATATAAATAAAAATGTAAATGTTCGTTTGTTCAAAATCTTAAATCTCTGAAAGTTCTTCACCGATTGCTTTGAAATTTTGACACAACATTGCATTCGAATACGCACGTGTTTTTATATACCTATATTATATAGATGTCACACCTGTGACAGGTAAAAACATGGTTTTTTTGAAAAACAGCACCATCTGTTGGACGTAAAAGCAACACACGCTTTTACCAGACTGAGCCACAGCAACGTGTGGCTGGGTACAACTAGTCATAAATATGAGTCAGTTGCCAAGAACTTCGATCAGGTGACCACGGGGATGCTTCGACAGTCCTAAATGTGAAAAACTGTCATAAGTCACTTTTTTTTTTAAGTGCCATTGTAACTTTGAACTGTTGTATGTTAAGGATTACCTGTATTGTCTGAAGGATCTGTGTAGCCTTTTTTAGGTGACGCTTGGCTGTTTCTGCTGCTAACCAAGCCTGTGATTCCCTCAGGTGGTCTGAAAGCAGCCCCGGCTGCTGGACTGGCGTGCTGGCTGGACGAGTCTGGACTCTCACGCAGTCTGAGGAACATCTGTGGTACACCTTGCATGAGGAGGAGAAGGAGGATGGGGGCAGAGAGGAGGAAGGCCTCTCCGAACCTCCCATGAAGAAGAGCAGGAAGCAAGCACAGCCGGAACCTAATCGTGCTGGGACAAGCGAACGTCCGGGCAGCCATTTGCCTGCAGAGCTGGCTCGGGGAGCAGACGGGTTGACTCCTTCTCAGATCCTCCAGGACTATTTCCAGCTACACGTCAACGTGTCTGCCTTATACCAGGGTTGGTCTTACGTTGACTCACATTTCCGGGAAGTAGGTGTTAAATTCCCAGGTAGGCAAACTAAGAACTAACACTGGAGAGAGTGATGTGTACTGCTGCAATAAAAATACATCAACGTGTAAAAAAACAAACGCATTTACAATTTCTTTGTAAATTCCAGAAAGTCCAGTTCTTCTTGAAAAAGCACCTTTGGGGCCACTGTGTAATTCAGCACCAAGAAAAACTGAATTCCTTGGTTTAAACATAATAGCAATAGCACTTAGACTTATATACCACTTCACAGTGCTTTACAGTTCTCTAAGTGGTTTACAGAGTCAGAATATTGCCCCCAACAATCTGGGTCCTCATTTTACCGACCTCAGAAGGATGGAAGGCTGAGTCAACCTTGAACCAGTGAGAATTGAATTGCCAAACTGCTGTCAGGCAGGAATCAGCAGAAGTAGCTTGCAGTACTGCTTTCTAACCACTGCACCATCAGGGTAAAGTATGTGACTTTACCCTGGAAACATAAAAAACTGATGAGGGAAAAAGACCTAGTGGTCCATCGAATTTGCCCTTTGATTTTTTTATTTTATTTTTAAATTTGGTCAGATAATGGACATGGGTTTATCCCAAGCAAGGAAAATAGTAGTGAAGTCTCAAAGCCATCCAGAATCTTTAGCTCAGTCTCTCATCCCTTCCCACAAAGAGGTTACTTCTGAAATTTCATCTTTTGTCTGCACATTTGTTTAAACGTGTTTGAAATCATGTTGAGGATTAGATGCTTTTGATCGAGAAAGTAATCCCACAGATGAGGAACGTGCAGGGCTTCAAATGGAGCCTCTCTCTTCTAAAGCCTTTTCCTTCCTCAAACTGCAAGTTGTAAGAGTCTGCTCCTTTTGAAGAGAAAAGTGTTAAAGGGGCATACTTGCTCCTCTTGTTTGTCACTGCAACAACCTAAAGTAGGTATCTTCCATGCAGGAAGAGGCAGCAAGCATCACTCCTGCACAAGGGAACCTGATGGCACTAGCAGGGGTAGGTAACCTTGGCTCTTTTATGACTCGTGGACTTCAACTCCCAGAATTCATCAGCCAGCATGGCTCAGCTTGGAAACCTTTCCCTTTCTCCTCAGCATGGCTGGCTCAGGAATTCTGGAAGTTGAAGTCCATGAATCATAAAAGAGCCAAGGTTGCCTACCCCTGCACTAGGGCAATGATTTTCAACCTTGGCAACTTGAAAATGTGTGGACTTTAACCCCCCAGAATTCTCCAGTATTCTGGCTGGGAATTCTGGGATTGGAGTCCTAATAAAATAACAGAGTTGGAAGGGTTGTTGAAAGTCTTCTAGTCCAACGCCCTGCTCAAGCAGGAGACCCTATACCATTTCAGACAAATGATTGTCCAATCTCTTCTTAAAAACCTCCAGTATCGGAGCACCCACAACTTCTGGAGGCAGGTTGTTCCACTGGTTAATTGTTCTAACTGTCAGGAAGTTTCTCCTTAGTTCTAGGTTGCTTCTCACCTTGATTAGTTTCCATCCGTTGCTTCTTGTCCTGCCTTCAGTTGCTTTGGAGAATAGCTTGACTCCCTCTTCTTTGTGGCAGCCCCTGAGATATTGGGACACTGCTATCATGTCCCCCCTCGTCCTTCTCTTCATTAAACTAGACATGTGCAATTCTTCATATGTTTCAGTTGCCAAGGTTGAGAAATTACGAACTAGAGAGTGGTGCTTCAGCTCAGTGAAGACATCTGGCCCAGGGCTGCATCCTGGCATTGTCCAGTCAGGATGACCTGCTTCTCAGGTCAGATTCAATGTCCCAGTGATGCTCTGTCCCAGGAATGAATCCCACAGAGTGCTTGCAGCACTGGGCATTAAGATCTCATCCTACTTAATTTAAATTATAGCTATGTTTCAAGTACAGGGTTTCTGGCCTGAGCAGGGGGTTGGACTAGATGACCTCCAAGGCCCCTTCCAACTTTATTATTATTACTTTTACTACTACTACTACTTCTATTATTATTACTTTTACTACTACTACTACTATTATTATTACTATTACTACTACTACTACTACTACTACTACTACTACTACTACTACTATTATTATTATTATTATTATTATTATTATTATTATTATTATTATTATTATTATTATTATTATTATTATTATTATTATTATTATGTTTGAAGATTCGACTAAGTGCTTGGCTGGCTCTTTCTTTCTTCCTCCAGGCGTCCGGGTGCTGCGGCAGGACCCAGTGGAGTGCCTCTTCTCCTTTATCTGCACCTCCAACAACCACTTGTCCCGCATCACCAACATGATTCAACACCTGTGCCAGGCCTTTGGGCGCCGCCTCTGCCAGCTGGATACCAAGACCTATCATGCCTTCCCCTCACTGCAAGCCATGGCAGGTAAAACCTTAGGCCTCTAAGTTGCTTTGCGGCCTTTCCCTCCACGGACCGTCCTGCTACACCTCGGACTCCTCCTCCGCTTCCTGTCCTGTCCCCAAAAGAATGCTTCAGTGGCAGTAACAGAGTTGGAAGAGACCTTGGAGGTCATCTAGTCCAGGGGTAGGCAACCTTGGCTCTTTTATGACTCGTGGACTTCAACTCCCAGAATTCCTGAGCCAGCCATGCTGAGGGGAAAGGGAGAGGTTTCCAAGCTGAGCCATGCTGGCTCAGGAATTCTGGGAGTTGAAGTCCACGAGTTATAAAAGAGCCAAGGTTGCCTGCCCCTGCTCTAGTCCAACCCCTACTCTTGCAGGAGACCTGTACAATTTCTGATAAATGGCTGTCCAGTCTCTTCTCAAAAGCCTCCAGTGTCCTTAAAAAAAAACAAAACCTCCAGTCTCTTCTTAAAAGCCTCCAGACGACATCAAAAAGAAGTGCTCTTCTGCCCCCCCCCCGCACATCAAAAGACATTTGCTACATTCATATTCCTGCTTCAGGGAAAGCTGCCCTTTGTGCAACCATTCCCCTGGCTGCATGTCTTTCCCCTGTCTTCCAAGATCATTCCCACATACTATTATGGGTCCTGATGTGCATGTTACAGCCTAGGCAATGAGTCGAGTTCCAACCAGGCAGCATGGAGGATGGAGGAGTCTATGGAGATTCTCGGTCATCCAGGTCATGGTTGTCCCAAAGGTGCTTTTTCATGAGGTAACCGGACTTTCTTTTTTCCTCTTTGAAGATGTTTCACTGAAGAAGCTTCTTGGATGAGAAGCAAAATGTCTTCAAAGAGAAAAAAGGAAGTCCAGTTGCCTCATGAAAAAGCACCTTTGGGAAGGATGGAGGAGTTTATTGAGATAGGCCTGATCAGGTAAACCAAGAGTATCCAGCCTTCGCAACTTTAAGTCTTGTGGACTTCAACTCCCAGAATTCCCCATGCTGGCTGGGGAATTCTGGGAGTTGAAGTCCACAAGTCTTAAAGTTGCCACGGTTGGGCACCCTTGCAGTAGATACTTTCTCTGAAGGCTTCTCCTTGTCATCCTCTGGCATCTGCCATCTCCCTCATCCTTCTCCTCCAACCCTCACACCTGTTTCTTTCTTCCAAGCAACCTTTATGCTTAACAAGACTGAGTCCGCAAGAACTGGGGCTATCTCACATAAGTTGATGATTTCTCTTCATTACACAATAGGGAAGTTCTTAGTTGATGTCAAGCAACTTTTGCAGTGTTTGCAGAATACCATAGGGGAGAGTGTGAGAACACTCTTTTTAACCTTCCTGTTTCAGATGACCCTGGTTGCAATTTCCTCTTTTCCCACTATGCATTTAACACTAGTTGGTCTGGTTTCTGATATCTGTCTCCACTTTAGGTCACAGTGCTGGCTGATTCAGTGTGCAACTTTCCTACAGTTCTGCTTTAAATCACAAAGGGGCTTTTTCTGAAATAATAAAGTGCATAGATAAGTAAATAAATTAAACCTCCACCTACCTTAGTTGTAGTCACAATTCCCATCAGAACAGTACTTTTCATTTACTATAATTTTGTACACCACTGGTGCCAAAATCTCTCAGCAATCTGCAGCTAAGAAAACTCTGAGAGAGCAATGTATCTTCTATGCCCTCTCACTATGACTCTCCGAAGACCAATTCAGCAGTTATTTAAGATCTCTTAATTTATTGTAGGTCATATAGCTGAAGAAAAAGGTTTTAAGTGCTTGGGAACACAACTCAGCAAGGATAAGGAATCTACTGGCAATTCAGGCTTGTAAAAGATGAATACACCCAAGTGGACAATGATCTGAAGGAAAAGTCAACGTAAGATTGCACATTAGAAGTGCCGGAAGCTTAACTTAAAAGAGCAATTGACAATTGTTGTGAATGTAGACGTCCACGGTTGGTTTCGAGCCTGTTCTAGTCTTCTCACCATTCATCAATAGTATAGAAAGAATGAATGGAACTGGGAGAAGATACCCAGTCTCATAAACTAAGCTTTGCTAAATCTTCCTTGAAAGATCCTTTGCTTGGACAGTTTATACAAGGATACTTGAAGTTTTGTTAGGCGGGTAGAGCTGTGCCAATGAAGAGTGACTTGATGCATTCCCCATTCGCACCTTTGCTTAATAGTTATTGCTTGTTGCTACTGTATTTCCCCGAAAGTTAGACCCAGGCCGATAGTAAGCCCTAGCTTGATTTTTGGGGGTGGACCTAATATAAGCCCTACTCCAAAACTAATCCCTAGCATTGGGGTGAGGCGCACCCCTAAAATTCGAGCGGGAGTAAGGGGGGGTGAAGCTGCCCCATGTGCCCCCCACCCACTTTCCTTACCGGTAGGACCACCACAGCCAGACCACCCACACCCCAACACCTGTCGCGCCATTACTTTGACTTCTGTGGCTGCTTGCCACCACTTGTGGCCGGCCGCCATGTGGGGCATTGCGCCATTGCCGCTCCTCCTGGCAGGATGCCGCCTGGTGCTTCGGGGCGCTTCGGCTCCTTGTGCAGCATTTTGGGCCGCTTCAGCTGCTTCTGTTGCTCGCGCGCTTTGGGCCGCTTCTGCTCCTTGTGCAGCACTTTGGGCTGCTTCTGTTGCTTTGCAGCAGGAGGCCACGTAGCACTTTGGGCCGTTTTCGCTGCGGAAATGGCCCCAAGAGCCACGCAGCATCCTCCCATGAGTAGCAGAAACAGCTTGAAGTGCGCGAGCAACAGAAACGGTCCAAAGTGTTGCACAAGCAGAGGAAGCGGCCCAAAGCGTGCGAGCAGCGGAAGTGGCCCAAACTGCCATGCGGCGTCCTGCCATGAGGAACTGCAACAGCGCAATGCGCCACATGGCATCCAAGCGCAGGTGGCAGCAAGCAGCCGCAGAAGTCAAGCAGTGGCACGACAGGTGTTGGGTTGTGGGAGGCCTGGCTGTGGTGGTCCTAAAGTAAGACACTCCCCTAAAATAAGACCTAGTGCCTCTTTTGGAGGCAAAAAAATTAAAAGACCGGGTCTTAATTTCGGGGAAACACAGTAGAATTGAACCAGGTAACTGGCAGCTTAGGTAACTTAAACAAGTAATGAGAAAATAAAATACATCCCAGAGTTGAGCTTCTAAGGTCCATCCTGCAGCAGGAATTCTATTTGCTTGCCAAAGGAAAATTCTGATTTTTTTTTTCTACTTTAATGAAGAGCCAGTTAACAGTTTCCTGCGAGACTTGGCGAGAACAGCAGCAGATCGATGGTCAGAATTAAAGTGAACAGAATTAGTCCTTCTGTGATTAAATTCTTAGTTTGGAGTAGGTAAATCCATTAAAATGATGGCATCACTCTATTGTTCCTTCTGTAGCTGGCTGTAAGCCGTCGATTTCCCTGTGATAGGCAGTTAATTGATGTTGCAGTGCCTATCTATTTATTAAATTTACACGCTGCCCATCCCTCCAAGAGGCAGCTCCCTTTCTTGTTGAAAATAGAATTATTTCTGGATTTGGTTTCATGTCTCCACTTCTTGGGGTAAACTGTTGCAGGAGCAGATACAGAGGCCCGGCTGAGGGACCTGGGATTCGGTTATCGGGCCCGGTTTATTAGTGAGAGCGCCCGGGCTGTCCTGAAGACTCTTGGTGGGGCCGCTGGCCTCCAGCAGTTGCGCACTGTCCCTTATGAGCAGGCTCGGCATGCCTTATGCACCCTTCCAGGAGTGGGAGTCAAGGTGAGAATGAACCTGGCCCCCTCCCTGTTTTTCTGTTTTTAGCCAAAGCGTGTGGGTTCGGCTGTGCCAATATGTGGGAATATGTAGTTGTGGTTTGCGAAAAAGGGATTGCTTTTGCTGTGGGAGGTCTTTTATGACTCGTGGACTTCAACTCCCAGAATTCCTGAGCCAGCCATGCTGAGGAGAAAGGGAGAGGTTTCCAAGCTGAGCCATGCTGGCTCAGGAATTCTGGGAGTTGAAGTCCACAAGTCATAAAAGAGCCAAGGTTGCCTACCTCTGATCTAGGCCAATTCCAAGTTTTGAGGCCTCATGTATACCAGTAACAGATATGAAAAAACGACCATTTATGAAACAGAAGAGTGGATTACAACTTAAATACTTTTAAAAGTAAAAACGTAGCAAATGCCTGAGTTTAAGGTGCCAACCAAACAGTGGATTGTAATTTTGACTATATTTTAAAATGTAAGGCTCCAGTTGGCTTAGGGCAAAAGCCAAATACCCCCCTTTCCTTGGCCCTACCTCTGATTATCTCTGATAGTCAAACAGTAACGGTGGTGTTTTCCAACTAGAATAAACCTATTGATTTGTTCATCCTGGGGAAAACTGTTGGTGGTTTCCCATTCCTTGAGGCAAGGGAAGCCTGGAATCATTATAATGACCTTCTATTCCATGGATCAGCTTCCCACTAGAGCAGGGGTCTCCAAACTTGGGAGTTGAAGTTCACAAGTCTTAAAAGACCCCTGTTCTGTTGGGATGAGGCTATCTGCGTTTATTTATTATGTTTATTGTTTGTTGCTGTGATTAAATGGACTTCAATTGTTTTAATATGTCATACAGCAGTGGTGGCGAACCTGTGGCACGGGTACCAGAGGCGGCACTCAGAGCCCTCTCTGTGGGTACACGTGCCATTGCCCCAGTCCTAGGCCTTCAGCTGGGTTTTATAAAACCTTTTCGCTTTAGGCCTCAGCCGCCGTATGCAAAAAAAAAAAAGGTCCAATCAATCAATCAATTTCAACTTCTTGTGGGAAAAAAAAAGATCTTGCAAAGTTGGAATTGATTGATTGAACTTTTTAGTCCCACCCAGTCTGCCATTACCACCACAGCCACGCCCACCCAATGAGCCACACCCACCCAACGGGCCACACCCACCCAACGGGCCACATCCACCCAATGGGCCATACCCACCCGGCACCCAACGATGCATAAGTGGGTTTTGTGTTGCAGTTTGGGCACTCAGTCGCTAAAAGGTTCGCCATCACTGTCATACGGTATTGGACTTCTTATTTATTGTTGATATTGGTATATCAACAATACAGAGCAAAGTTCCCCAACCTTTCTGGCTTTGCGGCCTGGCCAGGGGGTGGGAGAATGGATGGCTCCATGTGAGCAATGAGTACATGGGCCTGCCCTTCGTGTAATTGGAGCGTGCGCGCCAGCACTTGCCCACTGCTTGCGCAAGTGGGGATGCACGCGCTCCTGTGTGCTCTCGCCCGTCACTTTGCAGGCCCAGTTCCAAAGGGCTCAAGAACCGGTAATGGGCTGCGGCCCAGGGATTGGAGACCCCTGATATAGAGAATATGGTGTCACATAAATTTGATAAACGTTGTTATGGTGCCATCATTTCCTTTCCCTTTCAGGTGGCTGACTGTGTGTGCCTCATGGCACTGGACAAGACTGAGGCTGTACCAGTGGACACCCACATATGGCAGGTTGCCAAACGTTACTATGGCCAAGAGTTGGGGATGGGGGCCCGCAGTGTGACGGAGCGTGTCCATCGAGAGATTGGTGAGGGTGCTTTGGAACAGGTTCTGCTTACTTGTGACCATCTTAAATAGCAACATTTAGCAATAGCAATAGCATTTAGACTTATATACTGCCCCATAGTGCTTTTTATAGCACTCTCTGAGCAGTTTACAACATCAGCACATTTCCCACCACAATCTGGATCCTCATTTTACCCGCCTCGGAAGGATGGAAGGCTGAGTCAACCTTGAGCCCGTCATTCCAGACTGCGGGCAGAGTTTGCCTGCAATTCTATATTCTAACCATTGTGCCACCAGGACTCTTGAGTGGCGGGGACTGGAGCACACCCATCCTATCTAACCTAGTAGGACCAGGAGATACGCTCAGGGAGAGGTGATCCCACAAGTAACCTGGCCCTGTGCGGTGTAGGGCTTTAAAGGTAATAACCAGCCCTTCAAATTGCCCCTGAAAAGCAGGTGGAAGCTAGTGCAGCTCACACAGCAGTGGTGTTACTTGGGTGAACCATAGGACACCAAAAACCTTTGTGTGTGCCACTGCATTCTCAACCAGTCCAGTTTCCAGATGTCTTCAAGGACAACCCCATGTAGAGCACATGCAGTAGTCCAAACAGGAGGTGATTAAGGCATGGGTGACTTGAGCAAGACCTCCCAATCCAGGAATGCACTTCAGAAGACATACATAAAAATGTCAGAGCAGCTGTGAGGAATCAGACCTATTTCAATCACATCTTATTTCTGTAGTAGTCAGGGATAAACACTGGGAAAACCCCAGCAGAACTTGAGGGCAATAGCCTTACAGGAAGCACACAGGAATTATTAATAGCAGTTCCTTAAGCAAACTTTATTTCCATGAAGTTTCCTATCCGTCAGGTAGTGTTATAAAGCAGGGCTTTTCAACCTTTTCACCCATTGTACCACTTTTAGGATATGGCAGTATCCGAGTACCACCAATCGCCTAGCAAGGTGTCAAAAACGTGATGACCCCCCCCAAAAGGAAAAAAGTGATGAAGTACAGGTAGTCCTCGACTTACAACAGTTCGCTTAGTGACTGTTCAAAGTTACAATGGCACTGAAAAAAGTGCCCCCCAATCCACAACTGAGCAAGACACCTGCCTGCCCACCCAACGGCGCTCTTCCTCCTGTCTGAGGTTTTCATTCTTGTGAGCATTTCTGTTGAGGATTGGCAGCGGGAGTGGGGTGGGGGGTGTTTGGTCTTTATTCCCCCCATCTGCTGGGTGGTTGCAGCAGGTTTTGGTCACTTCACATGACCCTGGGACACTGTGACCGTCATAAATATGAATCAGTTGCCAAGCATCTGAATGTAAATCACAAGACCCTGGAGATGCTGCAACATTCCAGCTGATTGGCGCTTCTTCTGGGCTCAGCAGAAGCACCAGGATCAGCGCCGAGCTCCAGCTGGAGCCTGTGGCTGATCCTGGTGCTTCCACTGAGCCCTGACAGCCCTGCAGCTCCAGCCATCTCTCGCTCAGGCTTGTGCAGTTCTGCCACCGGTTCAGCTCATTCCCCTCCCCTGCTACCACTTTTCTAGGATGGTCGCGTACCACCTGCCAGGTGCCAATGTACCACAGGTGGTACCCGTACCACTGGTTGAAAAGCATTTTATAAAGGATAGTCTTGGGTGGAAGGAATGATAACTCGTCCGCAGCTAAGCTAGGTATGCCATCTTACCTGGTCTTCCACTGCATTGCCTCTGGTTGTTGTCTAGCATTGAGACACATTGTTGCTGGAGGACAGTTCCTAAAAGCATAGAGCCATAGACTGAGCTTCAGAGGAGTAAAGTTAAACGGGCTAGTTGAGCTCCATAAAGAAAATGTACTTTCCAACAGATGAAAGGCTTCAAGTATGTAGTAGCCTCTTGGATGAAAAGCCCAATATCTTTATGCTTGGAACGTTGCCATCCTAAATTGTAATTAACATTGATAGATTTTTTTTTATTTTTCTTTCTCTATTTTCAAGCATCTTAAATCACAGAACGATAATAAACCCTAATCATATTATATAACCATTACTGCAATGAAACAATATAAGATTTACGGCAATACAATAAAGTCTGTGAAAACCTCTTTCAGTTTGGAAAAACCTTAAAATAGCAGTGATTGTTGTCTGGATATTCTGGGACAGGAAACTTCTGTTAGCTATCTAGATGCATGCAGAGCCACCCGTAGATATTTAAAGCTTGATACAAGTTCTGTTAAATTTTTAATTTCTTCTCCAGCAGGCCCCTAGAACTGAAATGCAATAATATGGGAAGGGATGTGAGCTAATGTGAGAAATGAACCCTTATTCCACTGTTCGAGCTCTGTGGGGCTTGCTCTCTGCCACATTCTAATTTAAGTTTGTTTTGCCTTCAGGAAATTTCTTCCGCAGCCTTTGGGGACCATATTCTGGATGGGCCCAAGCAGTAAGTATGAAATTGCTTTCCCCTTCTCCCATTTACTGCTCAGGGCCATTGCCCACTGTAGCCAGAGGAGGTAAGATGTCAGACTAGGCCAGTGTTTCTCAACCTTGACAATTTTAAGGCATGTGGACTTCAACTCCCAGAATTCCACAGCCAGCATTGCTGGCTGTGGAATTCTGGGAGTTGAAGTCCACATGCCTTAAAATTGTCAAGGTTGAGAAACACTGGACTAGGCGAATCCATCTCTCTGTAGCCTGCATAAACTTTCTATCCTTATATTAGCAAATTGCAGGACTCTAGAAAGAAGCCAATAACAACCCTTTCTAAAAATGTTGTCTAAAAACTGTATGGATTTCTCCATGTAGTTGCTAAGTTGGGCTTAAGAAAACAAAAGCCAGCAGTAGGCCACAATAGATTCTTCTCCCACACACTCTGTCTTACACAGAGCCTCCCTTCCATTCCCCCTCCCCTCCTCTCCCGTTCTCCTCCCTTTTTTCTTTGCTCCTTTCCTTCCCCTTCTCCTTTTCTCTTTTCCCTTTCCTTTCCATATAGACCTGTCCCCTCTTATAGCCCATTTTGTTCCTCCAGTTCTATATATATACCAAGACAGAAGCAGCCATGATGGAAATTCTTGGCAGAAGCTTTCTCCAGTGACCCAGATGAAGATTGGTGGCATCAGGTTCCCACTAGTAGTGCTGGAACAACTTTCTCTTCCTAGCTAGATGCAGGTCAGGTGGATGCTGCAAAGAAATTGAGAGGAATGCTCTATGGCTCTGTAGATCATGGTTTGATCACTTGATTCCAAGGGTCCAGTCATCATCTCAGGGATTAGAAACAGGAACTAGGAGAAGGAGGATACAATTTCTGGTAGATAAGTTGTTCAGCATGCCAGGGCCTTCTGTCTTCCACTGTCTCCTGGAGTTTGCCCAAATTCATGTTCATTGCGTTGATGACACTATCTAACCATCTCATCCTCTGCCGTCCTTTTCTCCTTTCCCAACATCAGGGTCTTTTCCAGTGAGTCCTCTCTTCTCATTAGGTGGCCAAAGTATTTGAGCTTCAGCTTCAGTATCTGTTTTTCCAAAGAAGAGTCAGGGTTGATTTCCTTTAGGATCAACTGATTTGATCTCTATATCTGGGCTGCAAAATGTTGAATAACCACTAGGAGGAAGCATTGAGACAGGGGAAAAAAATTCCTGCTTGCCATCCATGGGTGATCTGTATGTTTGCAGATCTGCAGATGTTTGCAGATCTTGCCATCCACGGGTGATCTGTATGTTGGCCCATTTTTTGAAACATCTATAACCCAGGGGTGTCAAACTCAATTTCATTGAGGGCCGCATCAGCATTGCGGTTGCCCTCGGGGGGGCCGGGTGGATGTGGCCAGGGTGGGTGCGGCCTACTGGGTGGGCGTGGATGGAGTGGGTGTGGCCTACTGGGTGGGCATGGCCAGCTCTACATCGTTTGCGTCAAGGGTGCCTGTGGGGGCCTGGGCAGGAGTGGGACAGATCTGAGGGTCTCTGGCAGAAGGAGGTGGGACCGGGGCAAGCACCAAGACATGGTCCATTTCTTCATTCATCACAAAGGGTGACACCTCCCCAGCATGCACCCAGGGGGCGGGGCCGACACAGCAGGGGCTGGTTCCTCGCTGTTTCCAGGCGGCCTTGTGGAGCTAAGACTGAATGCATTTCAGCATAGACGGCCACCACAAAATTGTACATTGGCTCCCGGCCGGCCTGGGCCAGGGCCAAGGCAGTGGGGGCCGTTTCCCTCACTGTTTCCAGGATGGCTTCGCGGGCCACATGAAACCACTTTGCAGGCCGCATCCGGCCCCCGGGCCTTGTGTTTGACATGTCTGCTATAACCCTTTGTGCCATCCAGACTTTTCCCTCTCTTGCCAGGTCCTTTTTTGTGCTGACCTAAGGAAGAACCAAGAGTCCTCAGATCCAAATACCAAACACCGTTGCATCAAAGTGGCTCAGAGCAGCCACTCCACCTTGACATAGTTAACTTCTCTTGCAGCTCCACCTTATTTATGGGACTGATACAGGCAAGTAAGAAGACCTTTCCTGTTAATGGCTGGGGCCAGAGAGAAATCACCATGCTAAGAATAAGGGTTTTGGGGAGCCGTTGAGAAAGACTGAGGCTGCTGTATCTTGTGGGGATCCTCAGTCAGCTGCTCCTGCTTTCGTTTTTTTAAATTTTATTGTCTTTTTCCCACCAGAGGTTGCTTGTAGTAGAAGCATCTCATGGAGTTGCCACGTATTTTAAACAGTAGAACGTTTCCCGTTTCTTCCTTGTGACTTTTGTAATCGCAATAGGCTTGCTGTGCATTAGTACTGGGCATAAGGCAGTTTTTTTTCCAAGCAGGCCACTAGAAGAGTCATTTTTCTAACCTCGGGGCCATGCTATCAAAAAGCATAAATTGTTTGGAAAGAGGTGACAAACATCAGCTAGGGCAGGGGTAGGCAACCTTGGCTCTTTTATGACTCGTGGACTTCAACTCCCAGAATTCCTGAGCCAGCCTGGCTCAGCTTGGAAACCTCTCCCTTTCCCCTCAGCATGGCTGGCTCAGGAATTCTGGGAGTTGAAGTCCACGAGTCATAAAAGAGCCACGGTTGCCTACCCCTGAGCTAGGGCAATCTGGACTCCCACAGGCAGAAATTGAATGGGCTTTCCCCAAAGGAACTTTGAAGCTGAGCTATTGTTAAATATCTCCAGTAACTTAATGGAACCACATAAAAATTTCCCTCTCTAGTCGAAGTGGGGGGGGGGCGGTGTTCATCTCAATTTCTTAGCTGGGGTAGCCAGCGCTGTCTAAACTCACTTCCATGGTCATGTGGCCAGCGTGATTATACAACGAGGCACATAGAATGTGGTTACCTTGTGGTAGCTATTTATCTACCTGCGATGACCTTGTGGTAGCTAGGTTGGCAGGAGCTGGGGCAAGTAACAGGAGGTTGCCCCATCACATGGCACGGGTCTCAAACCCAGGCTGACAATTTTCCAACTGACCAGCTTGTCATAAAAACAAGACCTATTCCTTTCTCAAAGAAGGGATCCAAGTGCTCTCTCATTCATAAAACCGTGTTCGTGTATGTGGAAGTGCTGGTCTTCATGCAGGCCGTAACGCTGAATCAATTCAGTAGCTGCTTGTGACAGGCTGACATTTTGTGATGGATGACGCCTCCACCATTGGACTAATAGCTAAGACAGTGATGGCGAACCTTTTAGAGACCGAGTGCCCAAACTGCAACCCAAAACCCACTTATTTATCGCAAAGTGCCAGGGCTGCATCAGCATTGTGGTGCCCTCAGGGGGGGCGTCACCCACTGGGGGTGTGTGGCTGAAGTGGTCACAGCAGACTTGGTGAGCGTGGCTGGGGCCAGGGCGGCAGGGGCCAGTCCCTCGCCATCCCCGGGACATCCCCGGGGGGCCAACGCCGCTTGGTCACTCACTTCGTGCCCTGTCATTTCCAAACGCCACGTGCTCGCTACTCTGGCAAACTCTGCTGGGGCAATGGCACACGTGCCCACAGAGAGGGCTCTGAGTGCCGCCTCTGGCACGCGTGCCATAGGTTTGCCACCACTGAGCTAAGAGAAGAGGGATCCCTACCATTCAGAGTTGGCTACCTCAGGGTGCTAGTGGTTGTTTTTTTTATTTATTTTTTTTACAACATTGTCAGTCTTCGGCATCAGTTGCCACAGTTGTGTCCCATGCAGTAACTTAATTCTGCCTGGCTGAGGAATTCTGGGAGTTGAAGTCCACAAGTCATAAAAGGCCCAAGTTTGAAGACCCCTGTTCTAAAACATGGCTGGCTGAGGAATTCTGGGAATTGAAGTCCACAACTCTTAAAGTTGCCAAGTTTGGAGACCCTTGTTCTAAATCTAAAAGAAGAACTGGTCACTGGAGATAGGGCTGATTTCCAGGTGGTTTACGGACATTGGCTACAGTATTGCGGTACCAAAATCCAGCATTAATAGGAATGTGTTTTAAAGGGTACTTTGTTCCGTTTCTGGTGTGATGTTTTCATGCTCACCCGGATGCTGAGCCAGCACCTTATTTGTGAAAGACAGGGCCTCCTCCTTTTTCTTGTTACGTTTGCTTATGTATATGTGACACAACAGCTCCAATTTTCTTTGCTGCCTCATGTATTTAGAACGCTAAACCTAATATTCAATCCCCTGTACTACCTACCTTTTTTCTCTTTTAATAATTTTCTTTGCTTTTATAAAGAAGACGTAAATTAGATTCCTAAACCCAGATAATAAGCATGCTGCAGCCTAACTGAGCATTTTTCTGATTTCAGACAACAGGGCCTTGCACCTCACTGTCAGAACAGAGACTTTTAAAGGGTGCGACCTGGGTCTGACTGTAGCCTGTTTTTACTGTGTACTGTTTTAGAAAACTGTTATATATATTTCCCTCTTGCCCAGGTCTGTTTCTTCCTTTTGTCTTTGACCATTTCTAGTAGTTTGGGGGCAAAGATCTACTTATTTTTATCCTTTTATAAAGTGCTTCTAAGTTATTTCTAAGTGCTGTATTAATCGTAATAAAACAATCCTGGTATTGTCCCTTAGGCCTCTTCTAGCGTGGTTTGCCTGTTCACATGAGTTCCTAAAAAGTGGGCCTATAACTCAGGGGTGTCAAACTCAATTTCACTGAGGGCCGCGTCAGCATTGTGGTTGCCCGGGGGTGGTGGTGGCCAGAGTGGGTGCAGCCTCCTGGGTGGGTGTGGATGGAGTGGGTGTGGCTACTGGGTGAGCGTGGCCAGTTCTACATCATTCGCGTCAAGGGTGCCTATGGGGGGGCCTGGGCAGGAGTGGGACAGATCTGAGGGTCTCTGGCAGAAGGGGGTGGGACTGGGGCAAGTGCCAAGGCATGGTCCACCAGGGCAAGTGCCAAGATGGCCACCACAAAATTGTACATTGGCTCCCGGCCAGCCTGGGCCAGGGCCAAGGCAGTGGGGGCCGTTCCCTCACTGTTTCCAGGATGGCTTCGCGGGCCACATGAAAGCACTTCGCGGGCCGCATCCGGCCCCCGGGCCTTGTGTTTGACATGTCTGCTATAACCCAACTGGATTCATCTCAGGCAACGGCTCTCAATGGCGGTTTCCTCCTTTGAGGCCGGTCTTTGACAAACGTGGAGGGAGGCTAGCCTTGGGTGCTTCCTTTTTAATACGCGAACAAGCAACAGCATAGAAACTTTGAGTTATGACGTTCCTCTTGAACTAAGGGGGGGGGGAGAAAAGATGAATGAGACAAAGTGAAGAGCTATAAGCTTTCAAATCAGGCAGGAGAAAGACCGAACCATGGGGAAATCCCTAATTATATCAGATAAATGGCCCCAGGACTGCCCTGGATGAAGACAGGTAAAAAACATTTTAAGAGTGGAATCTTCACTACGAAGTTCCTCTACTACTGTCGCCATGACTTCTAAGGATTGCCAAGTTCAGTCTCCCACCAACCCTCTCCTATTTTCACGTAACATTTAAGAGAGAAGTCAAAGAGACATACATGAATTTATGAGTTTATTCTTACTTTAAATCCCACCTTCCCTCTCCTTCTAGCCGCACAATATTAAAGATAATTTTACAACTGCCAGGGAGTATTGAAAAGATCTTTCCCCCCCACTTTGTATTGTGATCACCTGCAGAACGGTTACATATTTTTTTTCTCCTCGTTTGGGAAACTGCGTAAGAGGACAGCCAAACGACCACTCTTAAAACGTGACCAGTCTTTCTCCAGAGTTGGCAAAATGACATTGGAAGAGGCACAGCTGGCCCCCCAAAAGCAGTGACCTTTCAATGTTGCTCAGTCTGCTTTAGTGTGCTCAGAAATCAAATCCCATAAACCAGGGATAGGCAACCTCGGCTCTTTTATGGCTCATGGACTTCAACTCCCAGAATTCCTGAGTCAGGTGACTCGGGAATTCTGGGAGTTGAAGTCCACGAGCCATAAAAGAGCCGAGGTTGCCTATCCCTGCCATAAACCATCGCTCAGGATGTCTCAAAACTGCTTTGCCAAAAGGCAACTGGACTTTCTTGTTTTTTTCCCCTTGAACACGTTTAGCTTCTCTGAAGCTGAAGAAGCTTCTTGGATGAGAAGCGAAAAGTTTTCAACAAAGTCTAGCTGCCTTTTGGAAAAAATACCTTTGGGACAATCATGATCTGGATGATTGAGAATCTCCATAGACACTGCTCAGGATAGCCAGGGCCTCTCGCCTCCACAGGCCAATAGGAAAGCTGCTCTAGCTCCTATATTTGACTGTAGAAAAGCAGTTTCTTTGTCTTTGGAAACTTCAATAGGTCAGTGGTTCTCAACCTTTTTAATACCGCGACCCCAACTGGTCGTAAGTCGAGGACTAAACCGGTCGTAACTCAAGGACTACCCAACCGGTCGTAAGTCGAGGACTTTCCCTGCCCAGGAGCACCGTGCATGCGTGGTTCCACCCCCTGCGCCGGCCGAGGTGTAGCTGGCAAGTGGCAGAGACGGAGCAGGCCGACCACCAGCTGGCCCAGCCCAAGGGAGGTAAGGCACCCGCCAGAAAAGGGGAAAAAATGGCGGACAAAAAAAATGGCAGACAAAAAAAATGGCGGACAGCCTTGCTTGGCGACCCCCGTGAAATGGTCGATCGACCCCAAATGGGGTCCCGACCCACAGGTTGAGAACCACTGGCATAGGTGGAAAGCTACAAGCTACTGCAAACTTCTCTCTGCAAACAAAACAATCTTTATTCTCCGACACTGCACGCAACTGAGCCAAGTGCCAGCTACGGTGTATGTAGGTCCTCGTTCCTGGGGTTGGCTTGGCTGGACCAGGTGGGAGAAGCAGGGATTCTCATTGGTTTCCTCAAGCGATGTGATGGTGGGCACAGTTGGAGATCAAACTCCCACTTGAGCGGCTGCTGCAGAAAGCCAGAGGGGTCTTGAATGTTTCTTTCCAAGACTTAGCCACTCAGGTGGTGGGCCAAAGAGGATGGCATCATTGCTGTCTTCAGATGAAGAATGAGCATAGGGGACAGGATGGGTCTTGTTGGTGTGACCAACAGGGGGATTGGGGTGGGGAATGGAACAGGAGAGGATAAAGCATCTCCAGGGAAGTGCATGGCTTAGAAAATAGTAGCCTCCACTTCCAGATTCTGGAGGATGCCAATTAATAGGGGACAGGTTCCATTCCCCTACAGTGGGACTCGGCCGTACTTTGGTGGGAAGGTGTGATGGTGGTCCCGGACCCTTCCCTAGCTCTTACAACAGGGCTTGGGGCTGCCCACTCAGTTATGATTGCTGCTGGCTCTGCCATCTAGTCCTCTGTCCTTTGGTGAATGTTCAGTCCCGAGTTTGGCAGTGAGAGCCATTCCCCAAGGATTCCTCACTGCTATTAGTAGCCGAGCCTGAAGAAGACAAAGGGGGAGAAAAGGACAATCAAGAACAGATTAACTAGAAATTAGGTGATTCCAGGGCTTCCTCTAGTTCAGGGAAGGGAAGCTACCCCGTCTGTCCTCCCCGTGCTCAGTGACCAGATTCACTCCATGGTTTATAAGACTTTATTCTTGGAATGTGACTTAAGGAACAACATCACATGAACGCAATAGCCCACTGACATACAACGAAGCTCCTACTGGCTTGAGCCGATCGTCAGAATGAGATGGCTTAGAAAGGTAAGAAGGTCTTGAAGACCTTGGTTCTTCTTCCAGCTGGTGGCCCAGGTGTCCCCCACTATATGGGTCATGGGGTCTGGTCCCCAGCACGGCCAGCTTTATCTGTACGTTTTTTGGCAGCAGAACAAGTAGGCTCCAAAGCAAAGATCAAATACTTGGCATTGCTGTCACGGCTGGCCGACTGACATCAATGCTCACAAACAGAAGGAAGGGCTTTGAGGAGAAAGGCCACACAGAGACACTCGCAACCTCTCACCGTTGCTCTCCTGCAAGGCTTGGCCAGGCCCCTCTTGACTGGTGCCAAGTTGTAGCTTCCTCATATGCCTCACCACAGCTGTTGCGTTGAAGGCTTGCTGAACGGGGAGGGGGGGGGAAGAAAGGAGAGAAAATGAAAAGCAAAGCAAATGTCAGTCTGCCGCAGACATTTTGGCAAGCGAGCAAAACTTTTAGGAGTTAACTCCTTTGTTTCCCTGCCCACGCTGTCAAGAACTTACTGATTGACTGATTGGTTGAATTTATTGATTGAATTTATTTGCCACCCATCTTGTTGCAAAAGACTTTGGGCAGCTTCCAGCATGAAAACATTAAAAACCTAACAAATATCTTTTACGTTTATTTAACTGATGCTGGGGAAGACAGGAATAGGAACGTCACTCATCAGCCTTCCCTCCACTTGATGGCTCTACCGTATTCTTCAGGAAAAGGGGTATTAAAAATCAATCAAGCAAAACAAGCACCGGAATAATCAAAAAGCATCTTTTGGACATCCTCACCTTCCATTTGCTTTTGGCAAAATTCTTTTTGATCTGCTCGCTGACTGACTGATGGATGTTCTTATCTAGCGCAGTGTCTCCAGCAATCCTGAGAAGACAGAAAGCATTCATTCCTATTGACAGACACCCCAGTTCCATAGAAGGTAAGAGGGGCCAGCTATTAAAGAGGAACCAGTGGTGTTACCCAATTGATGGGATAAACTCCGCAAAGAGATTCATTGGGGTCATTTTAGCATTTATTTTTACAGAGCTTTACTTTAGGCCAGTGTTTCTCAACCTTGGCAACTTTACGATGTGTGGACTTCAACTCCCAGAATTCTCCAGCTAGTGTTGCTAGCTGGAGAATTTTGGGAGTTGAAGTCCACACATCGTAAAGTTGCCAAGGTTGAGAAACACTGCGAGTTTTAGGCTATATGTTTGATATACAAGGCCCTCACAATACATCAGATTATGCAACAAAGATAGAACTTCTGCAAACAAAATAAGAGCCTGCAGAATTAATATAAAAGTTTCATTTCCAGTTTCCAAATGAAATCGAGAACTCTGCTACAGAAGACTTTGTGCCGATAACAAGGAAAGGCCATCAGAGGGAGAAGAAATAAGTCAGTCAATCAGAATAGAGCTGGAAGGGACCTTGGAGGTCTTCTAGTCCAACCCCTTGCTCAATCAGAAGACCCTATAAAATTTGAGACAAGCAGCTGTCCACTCTCTAAACTTTTTAAAAAAACTTCTTTAAAAGCTTTTAACATCTTAAAAACGTCCTTAAAAACAAGTTCATTGTTTTTCTTTAAACCAAGTTAACAAGCTTACTTTTAATTCCTTCTGTATATTTTCATTTCCTGCCAGGGGATAAATGTGAACCCTGCTTAAATGGGTATGCCAGATCATATTCTAAGTTGGCTTTGGACAAAATAGCCATATAATCATTCCTACAGTTGGTCCTTCACTTAAAACCATTCATTTAGCAATCAATGTTATAATGGTACTGGAAAAAAAAAGACTGGTCCTCGCATTTATGACTGTCACAGCATCCCCATGGTTATGTGATCAAATTTTGGGTACTTGGCAGCTGTATTGAGGATGGTTGCTGCCTGCCAGGCTCGTGTGATCGCTAGTTGTGACCAGCAATTTGTAATAACACATATAAAGGTTGCATGAATGCTTTTTTTAAAGCAGCACGTTTTATTTGAAATTTGATGATGATAAACAAAACGTCAGAAGCAACAATGTTGGGTTGGCTGGCAGGCCACGGATGAGGTCAATGGAACTATTGAATATGAGAAAAGGCACCGAAAAAACATCAAAGCCACACCGGTCCTACTTAAAAGTTCAAACGCCAACGGTAAATCTTACCATGGGTGTTGTAGGGCTTGCTCACAAGTGAATCGCTTCTTGGGATCTCTCTCCATTAAATGCTGGATGAAATCTTTGGCTGGAAGCAAAAAAAGAGAAGGTGAATGAGGAGCAAAGTCTTGACATTACAGCTCCTACGGAATCCCCCTCGACTTCTGATTTGGGCATCCCGAGAAACGTAAGCTATCTCTTCCTCACCTGAGTCCGATATGTCATCCCAGTAGGGAGAATCGAATTCATATTCAGCCTTCAAGATCTGTTCAAACAGCTTGGTATCGTTCTCATCGTAAAATGGGGGATAGCCGCACAGTCTGAAATAAAAGAGGGAGTGGGGGATAGGGCATGCGTGACTATAAAATCTAGAGGTCCATATTGCAGGCAGGGGGAATATAGATTGGGGAACAGGTGAAACAGTGAGGAAGAGAAGTAGATGCATGGGAGAAGGGAGAGAGAGAGAGAACTGATTATGTAACGGCCCAGAAAAGAGAAGAGGAAGAATAGGAACAATGCCAGATACAATATTGAGCTGTTAAGCTTTCCTGTAGAGGTAGTAAATACCAAATACAGGTAGTCCTCAACTTACAACGATTCGTTTAGTGACCGTTCAAAGTTAGAGTGCCATTGAAAAAAGTGACACACCGCCAGTCCTTGCATTTAACGACCGTCCTAGCATCGCGATGGTCATGTGATCAAAATTTGGACCCTTGGCAACCAGCATGTATTTATGATGGCTGCCACGTCCCGGGATAACAACAAGCCAATGGAAGAAGCCAGATTTGCTTAACAACTACGTGACTCACAACAATGGCAAAGATTTTCTTAACCCACTGTGGCGAAAGTCGTAAAATTAGGCGTGTATTGCTTACTCCCGCCTTGTGTAGCAGCAGAAATTCTGCTCACGATTGGGATTGTAAGTCGAGGACTACCTATGTAACCGCAGTAATTCCAAATTATTTCATCCCATTCGGAAAGTGCTAAACACAACCCCAGAGAGAGGTTATCATCTCTATGGCAAAACATAGAAAGCAATGCAATTATTCCCTAGACCAGGGATGGGGAACCTTGGCTCTTTTATGACTCGTGGACTTCAGCTCCCAGAATTCCTGAGCCAGCCATGCTGAGGGGAAAGGGAGAGGTTTCCAAGCTGAGCCATGCTGGCTCAGGAATTCTGGGAGTTGAAGTCCACGAGTCATAAAAGAGCCAAGGTTGCCTACCCCTGTCCTAGACCAGGGTAAGCAACCTTGGCTCTTTTATGACTTGTGGACTTCAACTCCCAGAATTCCTGAGCCAGCCATGCTGAGGGGAAAGGGAGAGGTTTCCAAGCTGAGCCATGCTGGCTCAGGAATTCTGGGAGTTGAAGTCCACGAGTCATAAAAGAGCCAAGGTTGCCTACCCTTGCCCTAGACTGAAGGAGTGAAAGCAAGAAAAGAGAACCACGTGGTGATCAAAGGGAGTGGAATTTCCTGCCCTCCAAATTGCAAACGGGGAATCATATAAAATTAAACTCCATATGCAAAAGAATAACAACGGACTAGTGAAGCAGCTATGCAAATGCCAATGGAGGGCAAAAGGGCAGGATCATGTTTGTAAATCATTAAGTACAACTAGACAGAGATGTATTTAGAAGCAACAGGGAGTATTATCAGCCCTCCCTATCTTCCTCTATACCCTCCCCCCCCAATTCGACTCAATACATACAAGATGTAGGCAATGACTCCAATAGACCAGCAGTCCACAGCCTTGCTGTAAGGCTTCTGTGCCAAGACTTCAGGAGCTGGGCCACATCGGGGAAGCAACAGGAAAGAAAAAAATGCAACTATTAGAGACTGAAATGTGTTGCTATGCCCACTAATACTAATTGGTTAATATATCTCTTACGCTAGGGAGTACTTTCAGAGGTGATAGAAGGCCTTCAGATACTGGATTCCAATAGACGTAATCAACAAACTATTTAGCAATGATAGTCCAATAGCGTCTAGGAAGCCATAGATCTGGGTCTTCAAACTTGGCCCTTTTATGCCTTGTGGACTTCAACTTCCAGAATTCCTCAGCCAGCGTGCCTGGCTGAGGAATTCTGGGAGTTGAAGTCCACAAGTCATAAAAGGGCCAAGTTTGAAGACCCCTGCCATAGATGGTTTGACCCAGTTCTGAGAGTTGCTACCTCATTAATCAAGCTAGTGATCAAACGTCTTATTAAAACTTATTTCAACCTTCCATCTCCCTCCAGGATAATTCTCCATTCTGGCCCAGGATATTTGTTCAATCCCTTTTCCTTCACAAAATATGAAGGTCATTTGAAGGTGTCAGGCTTCCAGATTTGATCCCATCTCAGGTCCAACATACTTACAGGTACCTGGTTAAGGTATGTTGAAGTGAAATTTGCAGTCAAATGACATTTAAAGCTTTAAAAGTGTAATACAGCACAATAGAACAAATACCATGTTATTTGGCAATTCCTGTCCCAAAGAATCAACTCCTGTCATAGGGTTACTCAAAATAAATTCTCTTTACAGCAGAAATTTCTCCTTGGTAGCTTCCTTCCTGCCTTTTTCTTCCCACTCAATGGCATGGCTGTGGAAATCCTGAATTAGTTTTTTGTTTATCAATTACTCTTCCTGAGGAAAACCTTTCATGAAGGATTGAATGCTTTAATTTACTTGGATTCCAGAGAGAGAGAAAAAAACCCCAACAAAATCCTTCCAATTTGGAATGGAAATGACCCCAAAAAGGGGCAATTTAGGAGCAGCAAACAACATTATAAGTCTCTTTAAAAGGAAGAAGCAAAAGAGAAAGATACTAATTATAAGGATGGAAGTGCCTAGACCAGGGGTAGGCAACCTCGGCTCTTTTATGACTCATGGACTTCAACTCCCAGAATTCCTGAGCCAGCCATGCTGAGGGGAAAAGAGAGCCATGCTGGCTCAGGAATTCTGGGAGTTGAAGTCCACAAGTCATAAAAGAGCCAAGGTTGCCTACCCCTGGCCTAGACGGAGAATGAAATAGAATCCAGAAAAAGAATCCCTGTCAACACAAAAAACTCGGCCTTGATGGATAGTCCTACATAATCACAAAAAGCTGAACTCAAGGAAATGGTTACCTCTTAAGATTGATAAGATTGTTTACTACTTTGGCTTTTTGCTCTCACCCCTCCCCAAATATTTGTATTGTTTTATGAGGAGCGGGACCCTTGCTGCTCACCCACATAGCCAGGAGTCCCACAGGCTGTGGACATGACACTGCCGGAGCCTTCGATCTTCGACAGCCCAAAGTCACTAATCATGATCTTGGATTCCTCATCCAGGCTGTAGTACAACAGGTTCTCAGGCTGATGGGAGATTGGAAGGAAGCAAGAAGGCAGAATTGGGAGAATTTAACAGCTTTATCGAACTGCAGAATATAGTACGGTCAGAGTAAATCCGTACAAACAGACCATTGTAGACTATTAAATGCTTCAAATGTTTAAAAAACTAAAAATACCCCACACACAATAACAGAAATAAACCTGAACAAAACAGGCTATGGAAAATAAGTTCCTGAAATAAAATTAAAATCAATTAAAAAAAAANTTCCATTCCATTCCATTCCATTCCATTCCATTCTATTCTATTCTATTCTATTCTATTCTTCTGTTCCATTCCATTCTATTCTATTCTTCTGTTCCATTCCATTCTATTCTATTCTTCTGTTCCATTCCATTCTTCCATTCCATTCTATTCTATTCTATTCTATTCTATTCTATTCTATTCTATTCTATTCTATTCTATTCTATTCTTCTGTTCCATTCCATTCTATTCTATTCTTCTGTTCAATTCCATTCTTCCATTCCATTCCATTCCATTCCATTCTATTCTATTCTATTCTATTCTATTCCATTCTATTCTTCCATTCCATTCCATTCTAATTCTATTCTTATTCTATTCTTCTGTTCCATTCCATTCCATTCCACTCCATTCATCCATTCCATTCGGTTCCATTCCATTCTGCTGTTACCCGATAGACAGCAGCAATGCTGTTCCAGCAAACTACATGCTCCACACACATTGAAACTGCTGTTCCAAGTGGCGGACTGGAAAGTCAGCAGGTGGGAACGAAACACCAGAAATTCTTAGCTCATGTCTGCATTCCCATCTGCTTTTTAGTTGTTATTGTTGTTTTATGATCCACACTTCTTTTCTTCTCCCTCTCGCTTCTCTGCCTGCTGGACAACCATTTAACTGGGATGGTATTAAAGTCTCCGGCCTTGAGCAGGGGGTTGGACTAGGAGACCTCTGATGTCCCTTCCAGCCATATGATCCTATGTTCTATGAGTCCCCAGTTTGCTACCCACCCTGGTCTATCACTGAGAGTGTCTCTTTCATTTTGCCTTAATGGCAGAGACATCTCTGTAATCAGAGGACCAGCACAGGCTGCTTTCACTTAGAATATACATCTTGGTAGACGTACAGTACTTCCCTGGGAAAAGGGCTGGCTGAGGAATTCTGGGAGTTGAAGTCCACAAGTCTTAAAATGGCCAAGTTTGAAGATCCCTGATCTAAGTCACTACGAAGGAAAGGAGTGAGGTGAGAGGACCATTTACAACATAGGGAAAACATCATTCACCGTACAGGTAGTCCTCGACTTCCAACCACAATTGACTCCAAAAATTCTGTCGCTAAGCGAGACGGTTGTTAAATGAGTTCTGCCCCATATTAAGACTTTTCTTGCCGCCGTCGTTAAGCGAATCACTGCAGTTGTTAAGTTAGTAACACGGGTTGTTAAGTGAATCTGGCTCCCCCACTGACTTTGTTCGTCGGAAGGCCGCATAAGGTGATCACGTTACCCCGGGACACACTGCAACCATCATAAATATGAACCAGTTGCCAAGCATTCGAATTTTGATCACGTGACCACGGGGATGCTGCAACGGTCATAAGTGTGAAAAATGGTCATAAGTCGCTTTTTTCAGTGCCGTTGTAACTTTGAATGGTTCACTAAATAAAATGGTTGTAAGTCAAGGATTACCTGCGGTGGTGTGTGGGAATGTCTCTGGGAGACTGGAGGAAAAGCCACAGACTAGACCAGTGGTTCTCAACCTTTTTAATGCCGCGACCCCCAACCGATCGTAAGTCGAGGACTAAACCGATCGTAAGTCGAGGACTAAACCGATCGTAAGTCGAGGACTACCCAACCGGTCGTAAGTTGAGGACTTTCCCTGCCCAGGAGCGCCACGCATGCGTGGTTCCGCCCCCTGCGCCGGCCGAGTCGTAGCTGGCAAGCGGCAGAGACGGAGCAGGCCGACCACCAGCTGGCCCAGCCCAAGGGAGGTAAGGCACCCACCGGAAAAGGGGAAAAAATGGCGGACAGCCTTGCTTGGCGACTCCCGTGAAATAGTCGATCGACCCCAAATGGGGTCGCGACCCATAGGTTGAGAACCACTGGACTAGACCATGTCAAATAAGCAGCAACTAGGTCCACAGAAGGAATGGGAGAGTGGCAAACACCTCAGAAGGGCCCCTCCCTGATTTATGTTGCATTTCAGTTTTAATGCCCTTCTCAAGTGAATAATACTGTTTTTCTTGGTCTTGTAACCAGTTTGTATATTTGTGTGGGGTTGTTTTATGTATATCATCCTGAACTAGTACTACTTTTTTTTTAAGAGCCTCAAAAGTCTTGTTTATTAGCCTTGTTGGAATTAGTATACATTTATTCCCCATATATTTTATTGATTTTTTAAAACATAAATCACTTAATAGTCGGTAAACAGTGTGTTTGCTGGGTTTACATTTGTAAAGAAAAATCATTAACAATTGGTTTCTATAATCCATAATCCACACAGTACATTTAGTTGATTTCCCCTTTTCCCCAAAATGTCTTCTTTGCAAACCTTGAAATAATACAGTTCTTATTATTTTGATAAATAACAGTTACATATATGATTTTTCCCAATATTCCTAGAAATAATGATCACATCGATATAATATTTCTTTTCTACCTAATCATTCTGGTTGCCTCATCTTATATCCTGTTACAGTCCTCATTTAGATTGGTTTCTCCCATAAAGTTCAAAGTATTCTTGCTGGTTAAGATTTTCTCAACAGTTAATTCCATTTAAAGATTTAAATCCATTTTCCCCATATAAATCATCTCAGCACTTTTACATTTCTTAAAGAATAGGTAAAAACAGTAAAGATAAGGAAAAGAGAGCAAGAGTAAAGAAACATAAAAAGTAAAATACTACTTAAAATATATATATATTCCTCCTAAGCTAATATATATTCGTTCCCAAAATTTCTTATTCTTTTTAACCATGATTAAAAATATATATTTAATCATCCTGAACTTCATTGGCAGGAGAGACATTTAACAAGAGTCAGATTCCAAGGTCCAGATAGCTAACATAGTTGTCATGTCAGGTTATTCATTCTTTCATTCTCTCCCTCTCCCTCCCTCCCTCTCTCTCTCTCTCATGCAAAAAAAAGATGCAAAGAGGAGTAGGCTAAGAGTGTCTGCCTGTTTGTCCTGGCCAATGAAGTCTCCTCCACCCTACACCACCCCATCCCATCCGGCTTGTTAGTATGAAGAAGAAAAAACCCTATTTTTTTCAAGTGGAGCAAATAATGGTAGTTTATGCTTCAATCATTCTGATAGTTAAATGTTCTATAGCAGTGGTTCTCAACCTTTTTAATGCCGCGACCCTCAACCGGTCATAAGTTGAGGACTAAACCGGTCGTAAGTCAAGGACTAAACCGGTCATAGGTTGAGGACTAAACCGGTCATAAGTCGAGGACTACCCAACCGGTCGTAAGTCGAGGACTTTCCCTGCCCGGGAGCGCTGCGCATGCGTGGTTCCGCCCCCTGCACTGGCCGAGGCGTAGCTGGCAAGCGGCAGAGACGGAGCAGGCCGACCACCAGCTGGCCCAGCTCAAGGGAGGTAAGGCACCCGCCGGAAAAGGGAAAAAAAAATGGCGGACAGCCTTGCTTGGCGGCCCCCGTGAAATGGTC